AATGAGAGTCAAGTTAGAGTGGGATGTTCGGGAGGGAAGTACCCTAATCCCTGGTGCTGTATCAACCATTCAGCAGTCCCAGAGGCAGGAGGGGAGCAGGAACACCCTAGTAGCTGCAGGTCACCTGGTCTGGTCCAACCACAGTGTCCTATCTGGCTCCGATAGCTCAAGAGCAGCCAGTTGAGTCACATCTGATTCACACAACTGGCCCCACCCTGGCTGTGCTGCACTGACTGGGGTTCAGTTCTGCAACTCCCACCCCAGCTCCACTGGAAGCTTGGTCAGGGTACAGCACCCCAGAAGATCGGCAGTCACATTGGCAGTGGGATGGGGACCACCTGGATTATGTGTTAGAAACTAATTCAGTTTATTTTTCTTTTTTTTTTTTTGAGACAGGGTCTCACTATGTAGCTCAGGATAGCCTCAAACTCATTATGTAGTCCAGGGTGGTCTTGAACTCCTGTCAATCCTCCTGCCTCAGCCTCCCGAGGGCTGGGACTACAGGCATGCACCACCACACGCAGCGCTAATGCCATTTTTGTCCATTGTTATTTGTCTCACTCCTTTCTTTCATTATCTCCCTTTCTTGAATGATTCTCAGTCCTGCATCTACATCCTAACCACAGAACTTCCCACTGAAGATGAAACCAGACTGAAGGAGATGGGGCAGGGAAGGGGGCTCCTCTGCGAACACACATTGCAACCCCATGGAGATGATTGAACCTTTCAAAATGGGAGGAAAGAGGTCTTCGGAGGAAGCCTGTCACCCCACAGCTGTTTGCCAAGCTCCAGGGCAGCAGAAGCAGGCACAACTCCACCCCAGGAGCTGAGCTGGCTACTGTCTGGGCCTCACTGCCTGGTAGCACCAGAGCACTTGTGCCGCTGGTCTCCACGGCAACCTTGGCTCTCAGCCCCCAGAGGGGGATCTCAGTACTGGGCTGGAAGCCAGAGGATCTGGACTGGGTGGGACTTGTTTGCACTTGAGTTGTTTAAACAAGGGCAGGGCTTTATCCTCTTTGGACTCTTCCTTTGCAAAAGTGGGGGAAATACTCATCTCACAGGCTGGGTGCTAACAATGTATATCACAATGTTAGGTGAGGCCAGGCATGGTTGTACATGCCTGTAATCCCTGCTCCTCAGGTGGCTGAGGCAGGAGGACCAAAGTTAGAGCTCAGCCTAAGCTATTTAGCAAGATGCTGCCTCAAAATAATCAAAAGGACTGGGAACTATTAAGTTCAATACAAGGGATAGTTATTATTACTATTATTGATTTTTTAAAAAATCATCATCAGCTGGGCTTGGTGGCACAAGTTTGTAAACCCAGCACTCGGAGCCTGAGGCCAGAGGATCACTGGGAGTTCTAGGCCAGCTTGGGCTACGTATTGAGTTCAAGGGCAGCCTGACCTGAATACATAGTAAGACCTTGTCTCATGGAAACAAAACACACACACACAAACCAGTCATTTCCAGCTCCTCTTAAGGGGCTTTGCTTAGCATGCAAGGCACTTAATATATAACTAGTCACTTCAGATTTTTCTGCATGAAGCTTTTTTATTTTTTTGTACCGGGGATCGAACTTGGATCCTTGCATCTGCATGAAGCTTTTATCAGTCAGTTTAGATAAAGTTATGCTGTGTAACAGACAGTTCCAACCAGGAAGGATGATTTCTCATTCATATTACATGTTCATCATTCATTACTGTTCCATCTTCAGTCCAGATTTAGGCTGAAGAAACAGGGCCTCTTAAGGAAGGGGGTTACCTGCAGGAGAAGTGATGTGAACCACAAGAAACCCCTCGTGGCTATGGAAACCAGTTGGATGTGATGTGCATCAGCTCAATTGGGAAATGAAGTCACCTGGCCAACTCTGACTCCAAGATTGCCAGGAGGTAACTCTTCCCAAAGGGGGAGCTAGGTAGGGGATGGTAGAAGAGATTTTTTGAATAAATAATATAGTCTATCCACATGTTTTTTGAGTGTTTTATTTTGAGACGAGGTCTTGGTATGTAGCCCAGGCTGGCCTCAAACTCTCAACCCTCCTGCCTTAGTCTCCAGAGCTCTGGGATTATAGACATTCGCCACCACACCTGTCATGCATCCTTTTATTCTGGCTGATCTCAGCATTTATCACCTCCATAATCCATCGTGCCACTCCTGGCAGCCTTTTACCTGTCGCTGTGTGAGTCCTCTCTCCCTGAGTGGACTGGGAGTCCTGAGAATAAAGACTACATTCTGCTTCCTCTGAGAATCTGTTACCTCAGTCTGTTCATGGGAAGGACTCAGTATGGATGCAGTAAAGTTAAATGCTTTGGTATAGAATTCTACTTTTGGGGAGTAGTCCTACACTATTCCCACTCTTACAGATGGAGAAATTGAGGCTCTGAAGAGTTTAGAGGACACACAGATTGGCATTGGTCCTCTGAGTATCCCTGGACTCAGCCCTAAGCTGCCCACTGTGGGGTGTATGTCTAAAACACATTTACTCGTATGTACTATTTCTAAGACCAGTCTTCAGGTTTGTCTGTGATGTGCATCCCTGAGGTAAGGTAAGTGACACCACTAGAAGGTCAGCTGCTGGGGAGATGGGGGTTAAAGGCACTAAGAAAGTAAATCACTTGCTAAGTTAACTTAGAAAGGCCATGGTGTTAAATTCTGAGCTGAACAGGATTAAATTTATTTGTTACTGAGGTTAATGCCATTTTTTAAAAAACTGCGTGCTAATAAAAGCCTGAGTTCTGTTGCCAAGATTCCAGAGAAATCCAAATTGTCATGTTTCCCTCCACTGGTAAGAAACTGGACACTGGCAAATGCTGGAAGGAAAGGGGATAACAGAGAACAGATAAAGCATTTCTGACCTCTGGTCTGCAGTCTTGGTTTCTTTTTTTTTTTTTGGTGCCAGGGATTGAATTCAGGACCTTGCGTTTGCAAGGCAGGTGGCGGAACCAATGAGCTAAATCCCTGGCCCTGCAGCCTTGGTTTCTGAGACAGAGGGGACCATGTCACCTTTGTCATCAGTGTCATGGGTGCCTTCCGCTTAACACAACTTGCTCTGGAAACAGAGATCTCTTCCTGAGCCCATTGCTCCTCTGGATTAACCTGTTGTTTTGACCATGCTGTGGCTTGGATGTATCTCTCCTAAACTCATGTTGAAACTTAAAGCCCTTGGAGGTGATACCAAGTGTCTTTCAGCCTGACTTCATGAATGGATTAATGCCTCATAAAAGGGCTTGCAGGGGTGAGTTCATTCCTCCCATCCCTTCTGCCACGTGGGGACATAGTGTTGATCCTCTGGGGAACACAGCCACAAGGGGCCATCTTAGAGAGAGACCAGGCCCTCATCAGACACTGATCCCACTGGGCCCTTGCTCTCAGACTTCCCAGCCTCCAGAACTGTGAGAAACACATTTCTATTGTTTAGAAATTACCCAGCACAAAAGGACTGAGACCAGAAGATGGACAACTTTCCATGTTGAGCTCAACAGAGAAGTCCTATTCCACATCTAAGGCCCTTGATCCTCTCCCCCACTCATCTGTTTCCCAGACTCCTCAGGGCCATTCTCTTTGCCATGAGAGCTACTGCCAGCTCTGCATGGGCCCAGCTCACATTAGAATGCAAGTCTTTCCAAAAGCCTTTTCTCCTCCTGGAGTTCCCTCTCTAATTCTCAATCATGCCATATTCCTTTCTTGTTCCAATGCCTCATGTAAAGACCACCTGTGGGCTAGGGTGTAACTCAGTGCAAGACCCTGGGTTCAATTCTCAACAACCCACCTCCCCGAAGACTATCTGCTTCAGGAAGATTCGAGCCTTGAACTCATGAGATGACATTATTCTAGAGTAAGCCCCAATTTAGGATGGCTATGCAGAGCTGTGCTTGAGGGATCTGCTCCGCAGCAGCATGGCATCAGAGAAAGAACACCTATTGGAAGAGTCAGGAGAGTGAGATCTTTTCTTTACTGGAATAGCTACTGGATGTGTGATTTTAGACAGTCACTTAACCTTTCTGAATGCAATTTTCCTTACTTACAAAGTGATAAGAATGCTCGTTATTACTGACTTCAACCAGGGGTTCATAAGATTGGAGAGCAATGACAGGTTCATTCATTTAACCAGTTGGTAATGGGAACCTGCCCTTTGCTAGGTCCTAGGGACACAGAGAAACTCAGTCCCTATTTTGTTTTAGCTTACACATTGTTAGGGATAAAGACATTAAATATAACTGAAATAGTCACATTATTTATTGCTGTAAAACAAATTGCCTCAAAATTCACTGGCTTAAAACAATAATCACTTGATCTCTCATAGAAGTGGGAGTTGAGTGGCCCCAGCTCAGTGGCTTTCATGCAGGATCAGTCAAACAATGGCTGGGGCTGGAGCCAGAGCCCTCTCAAAATCTTCCTCACTCACAGAAGTAGGGCTGGGTGGTGGCTGTCAGCTGAGATCCCAGTTGGACCTGCCAGACTGAGCGTCTGCAAAGGAGTCTTCCATGTGACTTTTGCTTCCTCATAGCATGGAAGTTGCAAATACTCCTAAGGCCCAAAAGTCCAAGAATGTCACTTCTGCACAACTCAGAGCCAGCCAAGATCCAAGGGGAAAGGAAACTCCAGCTCTTCATATGGGGAGGGACTCTGGAACAGGGCATGTGGGATGGGAGGGATTGCTACAGCCACCCTTGGAAAAGGTGCACCATTATATGAAGCAGCAGTAGGTACCTGGGCCCTCTCCATGTGTCGGACTCAGTTCCAACCACTTTCTATGGATTAACTCATTCAATCCTCACAGAAATGCTATTAAGGAGGCATGTTATTACTATTTTCCTAATGAAACTGAGTTACCGAGAGGGTAAGCACACTTGCCAAGGTCAGACAGTAATTAGTGTCAGGGCCTGGACCCGCCCTCAGGACTCCATGCTAAGCTTTTGATCATCATGCCAGAGTCCTTCCTCTCAACCTCCATGCCCAGAAGAAATAATTGCATTCTTCCTCATCTTTCTCCTTTACAGAAAGCAAAACATCGGTGTTCATCCCCAGGATGAAGCAGGCTGCCTTGTCTGAGCCTGGGGTCTTCGCCAGAGGTGCACCTCATCAAAGCCCCTGAGATGCCCCTCCAGGGCCTGGTCCCTGCAGGAGAAACCAAGCTCTAAGGCAGAGGCAAAGGAGCCACACAGCTGCACCCTGCAAGCCTTCTGGAGTCCTTGTCAGCTGTGTCCCTCATAAGTCATTCAAGGAGACCTTGTGGGTTCCAAGCTTGGGTCATTTAAGTGGTTGTTGTCGCATAAACATGGCTTTCCAAGGACACTGCAGACTGTGTTGATTGAAATACTAGGTGTCTGTGTTTTTGGGTTTGGACTTACCTTTCCTGGCTCCAGGTACTTCCTTATTCCGGGCATGCTGACCTTTGCTGGCAGACACTCGATGTGCTTTGCTGGCAGAGTGCCCTCCTGCCTTCTTAGGCCTGTGTGACAGGTTGCTAGAGGGGTGTGTGCCCTGTTCTTGTCAGTCTGAATGTGCAGAGTTTATTTCAGGAGAAGAAGGGCTCAGGGAGGAAGGCAGAGAGATAGGAGACCTGCAGAATTCTTGTGTCACCATTCTGAGGGCCCTCTGCTGGGGCATCACAGAGGACAAGGGCAGTGGTTAACCATGTGCATTATCTCCAGGAGCACACACAACTTTCCAGATGGCCACCAGAGACGAAGCAGAGCCTGGAGGTTGACTGCCCAGGTTATTAGGCAGCTAACCAGCGGCTCTTATGATGTGGAGTAGAACCCATGAAATATGGTTCAAATAAAGAGATTTCACTCCAAGGGGTGAAGGCAGGGTTAAGGGAATGAACAAAGGGGCACCCAGAGCCTAGCAACACTGGGAAGCTCAGCAGCTCAAGGAGGAGAAAAATGGTTCCAGAGATGGGAATGAGAACCGGAGGCTCAGGTGTGGACCTAAAGTCCTAGAAGGACATAGCCACTGCCAGGACCCAACTCCAAAGGAAGCAGGGAGCCAGGAAGAAACATCCTGCCCTTGCCTTGTCTCCCATTGGCCCAGCCCATTCAGAGGTCAGAGGTCAGAGGTGAGGAAACCTCAGGTGATGCTACTGGAGGATGTCACCAGGGCACAGAGTGGATCAGAGAGGGATGGGAGCAAGTGGTGGGTAACTGGTAGAGCAGGGGAGCTGGATTTTGAGGCAAGAACCTTAACTTTGCTGTGGTTCTTCCAAGCTGGGACACCTTTCCACCATGAACACTAACAGGTGCACTCCCTCTCAGGGGCTGGGGCACTGGCCTGGCTTCACCCTCTTCTTGATTTGAATGATCCTTTTCTCACTTCTTGTCTATGGTCCTGTAAAATCCTCTCCCAGAGAACAGAATTACCTAGGCCCAGCTGGATCCCACCACAGCCCCACCTGCTGATTCCACACTCTTCCAGTCTGTGTTGACTTGGGCCCAGGATGGAATCTGGGGAAAGCACCTTCAACTTATGACCAGCCATGTCCCCTTCCCTCCCTCCACCCCTACCAGTCCAGTGCTTCCACCTAAGCCCTGCATTTTTCCCTGCAAATTTCACTGTCCTCCCCAGGATAGAGCCAGTCACTAGCAGCATTACCACTGCCCTGTCACTGTTCTGGGGCTCAGATAAAGTGAGAGCTCCAGTCACCCAGACCTGGAAGCAGCTCAGAAGGTGGTGGTTCATCTCTAGTGCCACCAAGATCCATGGGGAACTGAGAGTAAGCCATGAGGAAGTTAACTGGAACTGTGTGATTTCCACACACACTCTTCCTAGATGGGATCTCCTACCCATTCCTCTGCACAGACTTGGCTCCTGACTTTCCCTCCTTATTGTCTCTTTGGAAGGCTGAAAGGAAATCCCTCTGCTATGCCAGGAAACCCCTTCCTGGGTAAGAGGGGCAGAGGAAACTCCAATGCAACAAGAACAAGGTATTGTCTGGAAACTTAAGAACTTCAGGGAAGGTCCCTATGCTTCTAGTCAGTTTTTGCTTTTCTACCCACACACTTTCATCCAGGTGCATCCATGTATCTTTCTCCCTTGCAGCTTTCAACCTGGCTAACCCTGGGGACTGGCCTCAAGGTGGAGTTTGCCTCAAAACATCAGGTGTAAGGGTGGTGGGATTTCTGGGTGTCCCTGCCAGACTTGAATTCTGGACTTCACACCCATTGCTTTGAATGTGGATCTGTACTGTATCTGTCTGCTCTGCATCTCAATCAGTAGCTATACAGATGGTGGTGCCGGTGGTGAGGACGATCAGGAGGAGGATGATAATGATGAGGGCAATAGTGGTGGAAGCTAATACAGTGGTGTCTCGGTTCACAAACTTAATTCTTTCCACAATTCTGCTTGCAAACTGAGTTGGATGAAAACCCAATCAAATTCAATGGTTAGGTTCAATGTTGACCTTATGGGGAAATTTGATTCAGTTCTCATCCAATTCGGTTTGTGACCAGAATAATGGAAAGAATTAAGTAAGTGAACCGAGATATAGCTGTATTTACCATTCTTTGGCTACTGTTCTAAGTACTGTATGAATACCACAACATTATTATCACTCCAATTTTACAGATAAAGCAAGGCTTAGAGAGAACACATGCTTTGGCCCACGGCACAGTTAGCCAGTTATAGAGCTGGAATCCAGACCTAGTGAAGCCTTCAGAGTCCACACTCTAGCCATGACCCTGTGTTGCCTTTTGAAGGCAGAGGATAGATTTTTTTTCTAAAAGGCTTTATTGAATTATAATGGGCGTACAATTAACTGCATGTATTTAAAGAAAACAACGTGATGACTGCTGACCTATGTGTATATCCATGAAACCATTGCTGCAATCAATAATAAATTTTTTAAAAAAGACAATGAATATGTCTATCATTCTCCAAAGCTTCCTCTTCCCCTTTGTACTCCATCTCTTTCCCCCCATCATGCTGTTTCTAAGCAACCAATTCTCTGCTTTCTGTCACTATAGATTAATTTGCATTTTCTAGACTTTTATATATGGAAGCAGACAGCATGTATTCTTTTTTGGTCTACCTTCCTTCACTCAGCATAATTATTTTGAGTTTCGCCCACGTGTTGAATGTACCAATAGCTCCTTTTTCTTGCAGAATAATATTCCATTGTATACTGTAGTTATGCTATAATTTATCTATTCACCCCTTGATAGACAGCTGAATTGTTTATAGTATTTAGCTATTACAAATAAAACTACTATGAGCCTTTAAGTACAATCTTCTATAGACATATGCTACTATTTTCTTCTAGGGAAAATACCTAGGCAGGGAAATTCTAGATCATATCATAGAAATTTAAACCTGTGAGAAGTGGCCAAACTATTTACCAAAGTAGTTGTGCTCTTTTATATTCCAGCCAGTAATGATGAGAGTTCCAGTTGCTCCATTTCCATTTGGTATAGTCTTTTGTTTGATTTATTTTTTTCTGCATGTGTGTGGTACTGGTGATTGAACCTAGGGCCTCACAAAATGCTAGGCAAATGCTCTGCCACTGAGCTATATCCTCAGATCTTTTTATTTTTATGTTGAGTCAGGATCTCACTAAATTGTCCAGACTGGCCTCAAACTTGTGATTCTCCTGTTTCAGCCTCCTGAGTAGCTGGGATTACAGGTGTATACCACCATGCCCAGCAAAAGTTTTAAATTATAATGAAATCTAATTTGTTGATTTTTTTTCCTTTCATGGATCACGCCTCCCTCCATCTCCCCCAGACAAGTGTGTGAGCAGAAGATATTCTCTGCCTTTAAAAGAAAATTGTGGTAAAATGCACATAAAATTTACTGCTTTAACCATTTTTAAGTGTACAGTTCAAAAGCATTCAATAAAGTCACACTGCTATTGTTTGTGTTTTGAAAGAATTTTTGCCAAATCCAAGGTCACTAAGATTTTCTGTTAAAAGCTTTATAGTTTTAGCTCTTACCAATCAATTTCAAACTGTATGGAATGAGGTAATGATTGAGGTTCATTTTTTGTGTATGGTTAAATGTACTTGTTCCGGCACCAATTGCTGAAAAGGTCATCCTGTTGACTTCCATTGGCACATTTGTCAAATGCCCATTGGCTGGCTTTTGACTATTTTGCTGGTTTGCTTTCAGCTCCTATGCTTGGCAGGCTGCCTTCTGATCCCCACATACTGTCTTCCCAGCTGGGGTCTCTACCTATCACTGCATGAACCTAGCTCTTGACCTTCCTTCCTCATTGCTTGGTGAGTTTCTAGTGGTATAGTTCCAGTTTTACTGAGTCCCCGTCTCCCCCCTAGTCTGCATCCAGTCCTGTTCCTGCCTTCTTTGCCTGGGCTCTGTGCCCAGCACCTGAGCACTGTGGTGCCCACAGTCTAATGCCATCAGAATCCTGGAGGGTGAGAGCTGCACATGGGCCCTTGCTCAGTCCAAGGAACTCTAGCACAGCTGGCTTTCCCAGTCAGTGACTCAGGCAACTTTGACCCTGGAGATCAGAGATCCAGCCCTCGTAGCAATGGCAGTTGCCAGGCCTTCTCAAGACCCCACTGGTCATTGGGCCCAGGTGTGAACCCCAGTTAGGTCCAGAAATGAGATTAAAGGGAAAGAATATCAAAGGGTAAAACCAAATGAGGACAATGCAATCCATGTTCTCTCACATGGAAAGGAGCTTTTTCAAGTGCGCCCATTCATGGGTACGCCACCAAGTCTACATATCCTATATGATTTAGAGCCAAAGGACCCCAAAGGGTGACCTGTACTTCATCAGCCAGCATGATCAATGAAACACAACCTGGGAGGAGCCTTGGAATGATTTCCTTACAGTCTGGAAGGGGGCAGGAAGTCCCCTGAGTTTTGCTGGAGTTTATTGAGAGCCACCCTTCTGTATCCCTAGGGGTAGATGCAGGGAGTGTTGATCATAGCAAGGAGTGCACACCCTACTCCATCCTGACCGGGTCACATGAGTGCCACACAGCAGCCCTCGGAAGGCGAGTCTCTATAGATGCATTTTATTTTGAATTCAGCTGGAAGAAGGTAATGCACAGATTCACATCAAAAGTGAGGCTGTATTGCATTTTCCACAAGGAGTAAAGAATCCCTGCTGTCAGGCGAGCATCTGAGAGGTTGTACCCTAGTACAAATGGTCCTCCCTTCTCAAGAGGCTGGTGAAGGCCCTGGCCTCTGAGATGTGTCCCTCCACCCCAGTACCAGGATTCGAACTCAGGACCTTGAGCTTGCCAGACAGGCATGGCACCACTGAGCCTCATCCCCAGCCCACTCAGATGTTTTCCCAGCCACTGGCCATACTTAGGCTCTTGCTTTTGTGA